ATGCATCTAAATACCCTGAGGGAGCAGGCTGATATCACTGTGAGAATGCTTTCTAACATCTTCAGATGTTCATGGTGACAGAATAAGATCCCAAATAATCCAAAAATCATAAATGTCTCCAATTTAAATAAGTCAGGAAGGAAGCTGTGGGGAACTACAGGCCATTCTGCAGGAAGATTATGGAGAAAATTGTCCTGGAAATAATTTCTGCACACGTGAAGGACAAGAAAATGATGTGGAATAGTCAGTATGGATTTACCAAGGGCAAATTCTGCCTGACCAACATAATTGCCTTCTACAGTGAAATGACTGGCTGTGTGCGGAAGGGGAGAGCAGTGGGTCTTGTCTCTAGTTAGGCTTTCAACATGGTCTACCACAAAATCCTTATAGCCAAACTAGGCAGATATGGGCTGGCTGGGTAGTTTAAAAAATGAGTACAAATTTGTGGCACTACAATGGTTAAACAGCAGTGGCTGATCACCAGTGGCATTTCCCCATGTTCAGTACTGGAGCTGATACTGCTTACAGTCCTTGCCTACAACCTGGATGATGGTGGCAAACCCTCCCAGCAGTTGACACCAAAATGTGGGGAGCAATCAACACACTGGTGGGCAAGGCTGCTTCTCACAAGGATCAAAACAGCCTGGAGAACTGAGCTCACAGAAGTCTCATGAAGTTCAACAAAGACAAATGCAAGTCCAGCACCTGGGACAGAATAATTCCATGCAACAGTACAAGGTTGGCACTATCTAGAGAACATCTTTGCAGATGTTGATGCTGTTGTTGCATCTGTAGATATGGTGAAAAATTTGAACATGAATCAGCTGTGTGTCCTAGCAGTGGTGAAGGCATGACATATGAGAAAACTGAAAACTGTGTTTGTTCAGCCCCTTTAAAGAAGAGAAAGAGGAGAAATTGCTGTATTCAACTACATATGGATGGTTACAGGAAAAATGGAGCCAGACACTTCTTGGAAGTGCACAGCAAAGGGTTGAGAGGCAATGGGCACAAAAGGCAGGAGGACAAATTCAGAGAAATTTGTTTGAATGTAAGGAAGAAAATCCTTTCCAATGAGGGTAGTCAAATGCTGGAAAAGGGGCAGAGAGGGTGATAGGTAGAATCTTTGTTCTTGGAGGTTTCTGAAACCACAAGACATAGCCCTGGGCAACCTGTTCTAACTTTGAAGTCGGGCCACCTACGACTGGGATTTGGATCAGTCCAACCAGACCTCCAGAGATACCTTCAACCCATTATTTTTCTCTGATTCCCAGCTTTCTCTCCTCTTCAATGAAAGCAACAAAGTCTTGCTTCCAAAATTATATTGACTATACAGGTATCTGAGGTTTGTTTTGTTGTTGTTGTTTTGTTTTCTTTTTATTCTGTAAGACATCATTACCCTGTAACCAGCATTTATATTAGCATGCATAAGCAATCCATGTCATTTATATCTTAGGAGAATGGTTTCAAATGGTAACCCCCTCCCATATTATCTGCATCACTTATGTGTTGTAGAAAAGAAAGTGTGGTTATTTCTGTTGGTTTTTTTGCAGTCAGTTTTTCCATTTTGTGTGGAAGCTTTGAAAGATAATGATGATTCCAGTATGCTAGTTAAAATCCCCTTTTCCTTCAAAATCCAGCAACCAGCATGATTTTAGTAAGTACCTATGGGAGACTTTATTAAAGAACCCCACAATAAATTTGCTCCATTGCCTCTTCATTTTCATCCACTTTCCAGGAGTCAATTATTTTTGTATGTGAATATCTGGAATGTACTTGAACTTTTAAAGAACTTAAATTCAGTGGACCAGATTCTCGTCGGGGATAAAAACATAATTGTGTGACTGTGTATCTGTACACACATTGTAAAGGGAACTTTTGGACACTGTTGGATTGTCTCAGCTCACAGTGTCAGGATGATAACCATAATAATTTATATTAGCTGGTTTTTGAGATCCTTTCTTCCTCTTCCCCAGCTTTAGGGGATGGCAATAAAGGAAAGCTGTAGGATGCTGCTGCACATCAGGCTCTAGGTCACTATGTCTCCTTACATTGAGGTACTGCTCGTGAGAGCTGTGATCTGGGCCTGTGATTATTTTAGTACCTGAAGTTTAATATTAAGAGAGTTGAAAGACCCAGTCAAAATCTAATCTTTAGGAACAAAATGAGAAACCAAGAACCTAACTGTTAAACTGAAAAACAGTGCCACAACTGGCATTTTTAGTTAGTTTAAATTAGTAGCATGGTGAATGATGGGAGGGGAGGAGTCTCTTGGGAAAGATAAAGGAGTAAAATTGTTGTTAGACATTGATAAATTCATCAGTTCTTAGAGACAAAATCTGTATGTGGCTACCAAATATAAATTTTCCTTTATTCAGCTACTTGGAACCTGCATGCCTCTGAGTAAAATTGGTGTTTAAAAATTTGCATATCAGATCCACATATATGCAACTAGTCAGAAACAAGTTTTTATTTTCCTGTGCTGTTTTTATTCTGTGCTGTATACCTTAAAATGACAATGCTAAAGTTACTCCAAACACTACACCTACTGCAAGTGCCAGTGCCCATTTTCATGTTTTATGCTTGTCTTTTAACATGTGGAAGAGCCCTACAAATTGATGAAAAGTAAGAAATAGTGACACTAACTCAAAACCAAAACAAGCTGAAGGAATAAAGACAGAACATTCATGTAATAATTGTGTTTTGTGACTGTATTGTGTTTTAAGGCCACAGCATTCAGCTGGGTATTTTCTAGTCAGAAAGACATAAATACAGGTTGTGAAGGGCAAAGTCTACCAATGTGGTGTTTCCAGAAAATGGTAAATTTATCATATTGTGCATGTGAAGCATGTAAAAATGCACTTTTGGAGATGAGTCAAACTTACCAAGTAAGCATCTGTAACACCATCTGCACTGTATAGGTGCAACGAATCATTTCAGTTCTTCCCAAGAGTGTCTTTCAGGACATGGTTTCATGCGCATAGTGTCACACAACCTGTGTGTGAGAATGTGAGTACTGCAGATTTGTTCAGATTTTCAGATGTTGTGCAAAGACATCTGGAACAACTGCTCCTGTGCAGTAGCATCACGTCATAAATAATGACCACATTTTTCAAGATTTGCACAGACAAAATTCCTGAGTTTCAAACCAGAACAGTGTACCTCTTGCTTTGTCTGCTGCTTTTTCTTCTGTTGTTTGCATGGGGCTTGTTTGTTTTAATTGGGTGATGATAGTTCTGTGTTTTCAGATGTGTTTGCCAAATTTCTGTAACAGCAGGACACCAACATGAAACTAGCAAGTATCCTCTGGTCTTATGCAGTCAGCTTGAGTGTAATGATACGTGCAGGTAGAATAGTGCTCCTATAACGACAAGGTGTTTGCTATGTCCAAGGTGCAACAGCTGCTGTAGTTGCATTTTACTTGCTGTAGTTGCATTTTCAGTGTGCTTTCACTGCTTTTAATCCAGTAACAATACTTGTGGTCCTACACTGACACAAGAAAAAGGAAAGACTACCCATGCTATTATGTATTCTGGATCCCTGGTCATTTTACACTGGGGGGACAGGAGCATCTAACCCCTGTGAATCCACATTAGTTTGGGTCTGCCTCATGTCCTGAAATTACACTGTTAATAGCAGCACAATCTTGGTTGTTTCAGTTCCCTCTACATCATTTTTAGCTGCCTGCAAATCTAGAAACACAGTTACCAACTCGGGAAATTGTGATGTTATTGTATCAGCTTCCAATGAATGAGATAGGACCACATTTGTCTTTATGACCAGCAGCTTTTTAATTTGGCTGCAGTCAGCATCCAGGCATGTATGTGTACTGCAGTGCTTTCTGCAACAGTGATTGTGACAGCCGCATACCAGACTACTTTTAACTTTCCTTTTCCATACCAGACACTTTGTATTTCATCCTGCAGCTGCATCACTGTGTGTAGGGTAGTCAACATTAAGCCCTCAAGGTCTGTATCTGCTTTGGAAAAAAAAATAAAAATCAAACATTCTACAGATGCGTACTTACATAGAAAAACTGTAGCATGAACAACAACAAGAGGAGAACTGTTTCACTTCCCTCTTCTGTTTTTCACAAAGTTGACTATGAACGTTACGTAAGATGTGGTAACAGTTAAGGACTCACCAAAAGGTCTTTTCTTAAAACTGGCTATTATACTAGCTGGTAGAATTAAAAATACACAACAGATGATCAGGTATATCAGTACTTCTCAATGCTGCATGCATCCATCCCCATTTAACTTAGTAGTGAACCAGAATTATAGGAGAAAACTGAGAATTTGACTCTGTTTTATATAACTTTAACGAACTAGGGCTCTTTCTCACCTTCTTTGGCTCTCTCCCCTCCACTTCTCTGCACATCCTTTTGACTGGCACAAAACACACCAAGATGAATTAGGAAACTGTGCTTTTATTTATCCTTACCCAGGAATATTTCCCTCTGTTAATCAGTAGTCGTGGCAGACGACTGCGAACTGCCACCCGTCTTTAAGCCGGTCTTTAAATCCGTCTTCTTAAGAGACTCGTACTGTCTTCCCTCTCTACCTCCCGAGTGCAGGTGCACAGACCAAGCCCGCTCCCCCACCGCTCCGGGAAGAGGGGCTCGGCCGAGTCCCCAGCTCTCCCGCCGCCGGAGCTGCCGTGCGTGACTCCCCTCTCCCTCTGGAGGGAGACACAGTCCAGCTTTTGGCTGCCGCCGGCGCCACAGCGTTCCTCCTGCCTCTGCCCCTGCTCCAGCCGCCGCGGCCGCTGCCCCCCTCCCCCGGCACAGCTGCCCGGCCCGGCCCGGCCCGGCGCCCCCTCCCCGCCCGGCGCCCCGCCTTCCGCCGCAGTGACACAAGGGACTCGGAGGGAGGTGGTGGGGCCTCCGGGGGGGCTCGGGCATCTCCCCCTCCACGGCCACGTGCGCCTGTGCGGAAACTCCGCACCCCCAGCCCGCCGCTTGGAGGGGACAGGAGGGACGGGAGAGCGGCGCCTGGGGGCGAATGGGGGAGGCGGCCCAGCTCCGGTGTGCGCGGGCCGCGGGGGCGGTCGCTGCCGACGGAGCTCCGCTCCTCGGTCACGCAGAGCGGTGGCCACGGGGACCTGGTGCCTCGTAAAGGGCTAGGGAGGAAAGCACCGAGTGGCCGGATAAATACGGGGGAGGAGAGGGGCGTCTCCCTCGCTCCCCACCCCTTCCATCTCCCCCGCCGCGCACGGCGCGCTTGGAGCTCCTTCTGCTTGTCCGGGCGCCCGGAGCGGCTCCGCGCCCTAGTGCGGTGTGGTGCGGTGAGCGCAGACTGGGCGCGGGAGGCTGCTGCTGAAGGTGAATCTCTCGCTCTCCAATTACTTTTCCCAAGAGGGAGAAGGAGGCAGCAGGAGGGGGAAGTCGTGCTGTGTGTGGACCGCAACACCAATCAGAGATGCTCTAACGGAGGGACTGCTGCAGGACGCGCTTCTCCTCCTTCCTCTGTCGGCGGGGCTGAATCGGGACCGCACGCAGCTGGCGGAGGGGCCGGAGGCACACTGGGCTGCAGGACTTCCTTATCCTCCGCTTTTTCAATAGCTCAACCATACTTCGTCCTCTTTTAATTTTTATTTTTTTTTTTAATACTCTGAAATCGTGCACGAGAAACACTTCAAGTCTTCCCTCTCTTGTCAGTTCCTTCACCCTTCCTCTAGCATCTCTTAACCGGATTTCTGGTGTATTGCCAGAGAGGCGGGGGGAGACTCGGGCCCCGCGGACGGCCGCTGCCCCAGCCCGGCCGAGCCGAAGGGAACGGAGCCGAGCGGAGCGGGCACGGCACCGCTCCGTGCCCCCGGGCGCTGGCGGGGCGCGGGGCGTGTGCCGGAGATGCCCGGGCGGTAAAGCTGGAGCTCCCCTCGGACGGGAGGTGTCCGATCATTAGGCGTTTTTAGCAAGAATCGGGACTGCAGGTAGGTGAGCGGAGCGCTCCGGGGGCGTGTGTCTGGCCGGGCTCTAGTCGGGCCGCCGGGAAGTCGCCTCCGCGGTTGGCGGAGACCCCGCGGGGCTGCGGGCGCAAACAGCCGCGGGGGGCCGGGCGTGGGGTGTGCGGGGCGGCTGCTGGTGGCTGCGCCCTCCCGGTGCCCTAAAGTTGGAGGAAGCCGGGACTGAGGAGGAGCTGCTTTGCCGCTCTTC